AGCCTCCCAAAGTGCTGGGACAACAGGCGTGAGCCACCACCCCTGGCCTATTTATTTTTTATTTAAACAAAAAGTGAGATTAGGCCAGGTGCAGTGGCTCATGCCTGTAATTCCAGCATTTTGGGAGGCTGAGGGGGGCAGATGGCTTGAATCCAGGAGTTTCAGACCAGGCTAGAACTGAGATTATTCACTTGGGGGTTCGGGTTGATAGCATTATTGAAATATAATTCACATACCCTAAAATTTACTCATGAAGTGCACAATTCAATGTATTTTAGTACATATGCTGTTTTGTAACCTTTTTTCAATTATAGTATTGTACACATTTTTCCTATATTTTATTTATTTATTTTTATTTTTTTGAGACAGAATCTTGCTGTGTCACCCAGGCTGGAGTGCAGTGGTGCGATCTCGGCTCACTGCAAGCTCCGCCTCCTGAGTTCACGCCATTCTTATGCCTCAGCCTCCCGAGTAGCTGGGACTATAGGCGCCCGCCACCACACCCGGCACATTTTTTGTGTTTTTAGTAGAGATGGGGTTTCACCATATTAGCCAGGATGGTCTCGATCTCCTTACCTCGTGATCTGCCCGCCTCGGCCTCCCAAAGTGCTGGGATTACAGGCCTCAGCCACCATGCCCGGCCCTTCCTGTTTTTAATACTTTTTAATAATTTTTTAATGACTGCATACTGGTGCACTGTCTAGCTGTTCTATAGATATTTGATTGTTTCCAGGGATAGTTATTGAAAGCATTTGGCCAGTAAGGGGTTTATCGTTGGAATCTGTTGGTTACATATAATTATATATACTTGCATGGGGCCTTATAATCTTTTTTTCCTCCTGAATATGTGCAGCATTAAAGTTTTAGTATGTGCCTTTTAAAAAGTTGTATTATTGAAATGGCATTTTATTAATATCTTTCAGATTCAATTAGCAGAGCCTCACAGACAATGGCCAAATGTGTCAAAGCTGTCACAGAGGGTGCCCAGGCAGTAGAGGAACCATCCATATGCTGAAGTATCTACTAGGATCCCAGTTTTGCCGCAGATAATTGAAGAACAACTATAGTGCAGTGATCCTTTACAGGTTTATTTCTTTGTTAAAAAAAAAAAAAAAAACCTGAATCATGTAATATTTAAGGTTATACTATGCCTGTTTGAAAAGGATATTAGTTATCAACTTTGCAGTTTGAAAAACATGTATTGTGTGTAAAGGTTAAATAATAAAACTTTATGCAGATGCTCTTAAAAGCATTGATAACCTTTGTGATGCATATAAAGAAATCCTTAAAGTATGAGTTGTTGACTTATCTTCGTAAATAATTTGTGTCTATAAAATGGATGAAATGAAAAGAGTTCCAGTTAAAACCCACTTTTTTCTAGTGCTAAAGAAAAGATTTAAGCACTTTGTCAAGCTGGGTAAATAGGAAAAATATATAATCATGCTCAGACATGTATCTGGGATAATTATAATTAATAATAATCATAGTAACAATGGCTAATGATAATTTAGCTTTATGATGTTTGCTGAGCACTCTGGTTTTACACGTATTATCTTCCTTTGTTCCTGCTACAACCCTGTGAGATAGTAATATTATCTCATTTTTCTGATGAAGACTGAAGCCTGGGTATATTAAATAGCGTGCCCAAGGCCATGCAGCAAAAGTCACTGACTGAAACCTACTTCTTATTTACTCCAAAGTCTGTTGTTCTTAACTGCAGCATATCATTTCCTCTCATTAATATTGATTCTATAGGTTGTTACTTCTAAAAATTAGTATTGAGTTTAATGGTGAACACATTTTTCTATTTTTTCTTGAATCTGCTTCTGTAATGTTATGGTGATTTATGTGGCTTTTTTTTTTTTGTATAAGTTATACATGTATGCATGTATACTTATGAGATCTCCCTTGGAATGAGGGAGGTCTCAAGAGACATAATTTAGATTCTCATTGATGTTCTGCATTCATTATCCTAACACCATCTGTAGTGTTAAATCAACTAAATTATTTCAGTAATAGGAGACAAAACAACCAGCTTTCATAAGTTTTAATTGTCAAAACGAAAAGGAATCAGAATAAGGATCACTGAGAATTATTTTTTTTAAAGGAAGTAAAAATTTTACAATTAGAAGATAATTAAAGGTAGATAATTTATTTTCTTTTTTAATCTAAGGCTGGGTGTGGTGGGCTCACGCCTGTAATCCCAACACTTTGGGGGACCGAGGTGGGTGGATTGCTTGAGCCCAGGAGTTGGAGACCAGTCTGGGCAACATGGTAAAACCCATCTCTACAAAAATTACAAAAATTAGCTGGGTGTGGTGGTGTACACCTATAGTCCCAGCTACTCGGAAGGCTGAGGTGGGAGGATCACCTGACCCAGGAGGTTGAGGCTACAGTGAGCCGTGATTGTGCTGCTGCATTCCAGCCTGGGCAACACAGCAAGATTTTGTCTCCAACAAACAAAAGTATGTTCACAATTTTTTTGTTTTGTAATCCTTATTCTTTTCTGCTTTCATTAAAGACTCAGCCCAAATATAGGATGCCCTTTTCCCTTTGTTTTCTTTTTGAGATGGAGTCTTACTCTGTCACCCAAGGCTGGAATGCAGTGGCATGATCTTGGCTCACTGCAATCACCACCTCCCTGATTCAAGCGATTCTCCTGCCTCAGCCTCCCCGGTAGCTGGGATTACAAGCACCCGCCACCACACTCGGCTAATTTTTGTATTTTTAGTAGAGACAGGGTTTCACCATGTTGGCCAGGCTGGTCTTGAACTCCTGACCTCAGGTGATTTACCCACCTCGGCCTCTCAAAGTGCTAGGATTACAGGTGTGTGTGAGCCACCACGCCCAGTCTAGGATGTCGTTTTTCTGATACAACAAAGGATAAGGTTTTAGAATAACAGTATGTCACAATATCTTTAAAAACAGAAGGTCTAGTGGCTCACACCTGTAAGCCCAGCATTTTGGGGGTTCAAGGCAGGAGGATCAGTTGAGGCCAGGAGTTCAAGACCAGACTGGACTGCATAGCAAGATCCTATTTCTACAAAAAAAGGTAAAGCTTAAAATTGCACAAAATTTGTCACCTGTACCAGCTTTTAGAACTGTTTATCTTATCCTCCTTAGTGATACATTATGAAGTTGTGTGCTTTGCCTAAAATGTCCAGTTGCCTGAAATTGTATAAATTCTTGCCAAAAGTGTTTGAACTTAATACAAACTTCCCATCTCTTACCTCTTAGCACTGTGCTTATCTTGAGGGGACATAGTCCCAGTTTTGTATTTTACATAATACTCTTAGTGAGTATGTGTAGACTTCATATGGTTGTGGGTAAGAGAATACTGCATTGAGATAGAAAAGGTGATATATGGCTAAGTTGATCCAGGATTCTTCGGCTACCTGTTAGGCAGCTTGCGGTGAACAATCATAATCTCTAAAAAATACCTGGTCTGGGCTGGGCTTAGTGGCTTACACCTGTAATCCCAGCACTTTGGGAGGCTGAGGTGGGCAGATCACTTGAGGTCAGGAGTTTGAGACCAGCTTGGCCAACATGGTGAAACCCTGTCTCTACTAAAAATACAAAAATTAGCCAGGCATGGTGGCACATGGCTGTAATCCCAGCTACTGGGGAGGCCGAAGCAGGAAAATCACTTGAACCGAGAGTCGAGACAGAGGTTGTGGTAAGCTGAGATCACACCATTGCACTCCAGCCTGGGTGAAGAAGCAAGCCTGTATCTCAAAAATAAATAGAAAATACCTTGTCTGTGATAAGTAGTGCTCTGTCTGTCTCATGGGCACATATTAGTGTCATAATGCCAAATACTAAGGTTATTATAAGCATAAACATTGAAGATAATTGCTAGAGAAAAACAGACTGAAAAAGAGTCCTCAGATAAAAGAAAAATATATGTAGATGAGAGTAACCTGTCTGGTGGATCATGATATTCTAAGCAATGAAGGAATCACCAATGAGAAAATCTACAAAGGCTCAAGATCAAGTCTCTTTAGGTGAATGAGGCAATCTAGAAAGACCTTGGGATAATAATACCATTTCCTGAGGACCTTCTAAATAAATGCCATTAAAGCTTTAAGTACATTATGGCTCTTCACAAAATCTCTGCTAATGGTAGGTATTAATTGAGACTTAAGAAATATCAAATAACTTATTTATGGTTACACAGATACTAATGGCAAGAGTGTTTAATTAGAAGTACTTTTATTATCCTAGGTTGACTCAAATGAAAACATTTTTGACAGCAATATAAGGTGAATAGCTGAGCATGATGGCACAAGCTATAGCCCCAGCTACTTGGGAGGCTGAGGCACAAGGATTCCTTGAGCAAATGAGTTTGAGTCCAGCATGGGCAACTGTATTCCTGCAGTTTGCTTGTATTCCTCTCCTCAAAGTGCTTTTTCCTTCTCTGCTACATGACTAGCCTGTGAATTTTCCAAACTTTTATGCTCTGCTTCCCTTTTAAATATAAGTTCCAACTTTAAGTTATTTCTTTGCTTCCATATCTGATTGTAGGCTGCTAGCATCAGCCAGGCCACATCTTGAACACTTTGCTGCTTAGAAATTTCTTCTGCCAGATACCCTAAGTCATCACTCTTAAGTTCAAACTTACACAGATTCCTAGGGCCTGGACACAATGCACCCAAGTTATTTGCTAAAGCATGACATGGGTGTACCTTTGTTTCTGTTCCCAATAACTTCCTCATTTCCATCTGAGACCTCATCACCCTGGACTTCACTATATGTCTATCAGCATTTTGGTTACAACCACTGAACAAGTCTCTAAGTTCCAAACTTTCCCTCATCTTCCTGTCTTCTGAGCCCTCCAGATTCTTCCAACCTCTGCCCAGTTCCAAAGCTGCTTCTACATTTTCCAGTATGTATAGCAGTGCCCCGCCATCAGTACTAATCTGTTTTAGTCTGTTTGCGTTACTATAAAGGAATATCTGAGACTGGGTGATTCATAAAGAAGAGAGATTTAATTGGCTTACCGTTCTGCAGGCTGTACACAAAGCATGGCACCAGCAGCTGCTTCTGATGAGGGCCTCAGGAAGCTTACAATTGTGGCAGAGGGCAAAATGGGAGCGAGCATGTAACATGGTGAGAGAAGCAGCAAGAGAGAGAAGGAGGAGGTCCCAGACTCTAAACAAGTAGATTTCACGTGAACTAAGAACTCACTCATCACTAAGGTGATGGTGCCAAGCCATTCATGAAGGATTTGCTCCATGATTCAATACCTCCCACTAGGCCCTACCTCCAACATTGGGGATTACATTTCAACGTGAGATTTGGAAGTGACAGACATCCAAACCATATCAGTAACATAGCAAGACCCCCATCTCTTAAAAGAATATCTTAAACTCCATATGGAAAGCCTCCTCCCTCAAATTTGTAGTAAATTGTATTATAATGAATACATTAATTAAAAATATACTTGGCCTGGCACAGTGGCTCAAGCCTGTAATCCCAGCACTTTGGGAGGCCAAGGCAGGCGGATCACCTGAGGTCAGGAGTTTGAGACCAGCGTGCCCAACATGATGAAACCCTGTCTCTACTAAAAATACAAAATTAGCCAGGTGTGGTGGCGGGTGCCTATAATCTCAGCTACTCACTCAGGAGGCTGAGGCAGGAGAATCAGTTAAATCCAGGAGACACAGATTGCAGTGAGTCAATATTGCACCGTTGCATTCCAGCCTGGGTGACAGTGAGACTCTGAAAAAAAGTAAAAATTAAAAAATATTTGACAATACCCAGTACTCAATAATTTATTATTGTTTGCTATTGACGTTAACATTTTCTTTAAGAGTATTTCTTCATCTGTAAAATGAGAATAAAAACTGTAAAATTTGTACCTACTTCTAACCTCATAGAGTTGTTTTGATGATTATGTCAGAAAGCTTGTAAAAATCTTAGGCCTATTTCCTGACATATAGTAAATGCCCCATGTGCTAACTGAGGATGATCATTATAGGAAAATTTCATAGACTATGAGGGAAAGCCATGCCTAAAATAATCTCCAGCTGATTAAGAAGTACATTCCTTTTTGTTTGTTTTATCTGAGACGGAGTCTCACTGTGTCGCCAGACTGGAGTGCAGTGGCGCGATCTCTGCTCACTGCAACCTCCGCCTCCTGGGTTCAAGTGATCCTCCTGCCTTAGCCTCCCAAGGAGCTGGGACTACAGGCGCGCACCACCACACCCAGCTAATTTTTGTGTTTTTAGTAGAGGTGGGGTTTCACCATATTGGGCAGGATGGTCTCAAACTCCTGACCTCAGGTGATCCATCTGCCTCAGCCTCCCAGAGTGCTGGGATTACAGGTGTGAGCTCTGCATGCCCAGTCAATTTTTGTATTTTTAGTAGAGATGGGGTTTCACCATATTGGTCAGGCTAGTCTTGAACCCCTGACCTCAGGTGATCCACCTGCCTCGGCCTCCCAAAGTGATGGGATTACAGACGTGAGCCAGCACGCCCAGTCTGGCCACCTTTTATAAAAAGATGAAGATGTCAGAATTCCTTAATAAGATTCTGGCTCTGCTACCCAGACTGGAGTGCAATGCATGGCATGATCTCAGCACACTGCAACCTCCATCTCCTGGGCTCAAGCCATCCTCCCACCTCAGCCTCCCAAGTGGCTGGGACTACAGGCACATGCCACCACACCTGGCTAATTTTTGTATTTTTTGTAGAGACAAGGTTTCACGATGTTGCACAGGCTGGTCTTGAACTCCTGAGTTCAAGTGATCTGCCTGCCTCAGCCTCCCAAAGTGCTGGGATTACAGGTATGAGCCACTGTACCCAGCCCCGAATAAGTTTTAAATAACCAATATTTTAAAATATTTTAATAGTTACATAGCACTTTAATTAGTTTGCTGAATAATTTAGCCCAAGGGACAAGGATGTTAATAAGAAAACTGACTAGATTTCAGATCATAGATTTTAAGAGAACAAGGATCTCAAAACCAAATACCCTCTGCTTAAAGTGTTTTTTTGTGTTTTTTACTACTGAAAATGTTTAGAGATTGACTTACCTATTGCTGATATTCAAAACATCTGATATCTTAATATTTTTAAATAACTCACACTAAAAGCATATGTTGAAAATGGCAATGTATAGTCTGAGACTGGTGATTAATTTATAATATTGGTACCTAAAGAGATACTGAGATGAATAACTTATTAATTTCCTTCTTAAAATCATAATTTTGGATCTGTAAAGGACTATACAAAAAAAATCTAGTATTATACCTGCATTTTGTAATTGTGGAAATAGAGGCCAGAAAGAATAAGAGGCAAGTTAGGGGCAGATACTGGGTTTGGATCAGCTCTTCTGACGCCTGATTGTGTGACATTACAAAGCCTGAAATTCAGCTCCAACATCTATTAAACATTTACAGAATATCAGCTGGGCGCAGTGGCTCTCACAAGGCCAGGAGTTCAAGACCAGCCTGGCCAAGATAGTGAAACCCTGTCTCTACTAAAAATACAAAAATCAGCCGGGCATGGTGGCAGGCGCCTGTAATCCCAGCTACTCTGGAGGCTGAGGCAGAGAATTGTTTAAACCTGGGAGGCGGAGGTTGCAGTGATCCCAGATCGTGCCACTACACTCCAGCCTGGCGACAGAGTGAGACCCCATCTCACACACACACACAAAAAAATTGCAGATTATCTACTGTGTGTCAAGTACATTAATTACCCAAGACTACAAAGAGAAATACGATTTAGCTAATGTCCTCAAGAAGCTAACAGTATACTAAAAGAGATATGTAGGCATCAATTATAGTAATGACATAACATATTCTAATAGAGGTATGCACATAACGCAGTGGGCATGGCTAGTTGTCTTTGTTTCTGCTGTTAAAACAGAATATCACAGATTGGGTGATTGATTGATTGATTGACTGATTGATTGAGGCAACTCTGTCACCCAGGCTGGAGTTCAGTGGCATGATCACAGCTCACTGCAGCCTCAACCTCCCTGGATCAAGCAATCCTCCTGCCTCAGCCTCCTGAACAGCTGGAACTACGGGTGTGAGCCACCATGCCCCACTAATTTTTAATCTTTTTTTTTTTTTTTTGTCTGAGACAGTCTCAGTCTGTCACCCAGGCTGGAGTGCAGTGGCACAATCTCAGCTCACTGCAACCTCCACCTGCCAGGTTCAAGCAGTTCTACCTCAGTCTCCTGAGTAGCTAGGATTACAGACGTGTGCCACCACGCCCGGCTAATTTTTGTATTTTTAGTAGAGACGGGGATTCGCCATGTTGGTCAGGCTGGTCTCGAACTCCTGACCTCGTGATCCACCCACCTCGGCCTCCCAAAGTGCTGGGATTACAGGCATAAGCTGCCGCGCCCAGCCAATTTTAAAAAACGTTTTATAGAGACGGGTCTCACTATGCTGCCCAGGCTCATCTCAAACCCCTGGGCTCAGGCGCTCTCCCACCTTGTCCTCCCAAAGTTCTGGAGTAACAGATGTGAGCCAACACACCAGGCCCAGACTGGGTAATTTATAAAGAAATTTACTTCTGCCCGCCCCGCCGCGGCTCCCCCGCGCGGGTGGCTGAGGTGTAGTGCTGCAACCCCCGCACCCCTGGGACATGGCGCTGCAAGTCGCGCTCTGCCGCTGAGGCCCTGGCAGCTTGGGATGGGCGCCGTCCGGCTGCTGCGCATGGGACCCGCTCTGCTCTTGGGAAGGGTTGGGAGATGTTTAATGTAGTCTGCCTGAAGTTGGGACAAAATTGAACAAACAAGATGAGTTTGGTGCTTTGGAAAGTGTGAGAGCTGCTAGTGAACTCTGTTCTCCTTTATCAAAAGTAACTGAAATTAATGAAGCTCTTGCAGAAAATCCAGGACTTGTAAACAAATCTTGTTAGGAAGATGGTTGGCTGATCAAGATGACACTGAGTAACCCTTCATAACTAGATGAACTTATGAGTGAAGAAGCGTATGAGAAATACGTAAAAATCTATTGAGGAGTGAAAATGGAACCCCTAAATAAACTAGTGTGAAATAATGCAATGCAGCGGAGTTGTCTTAAATTAGTAGTGGATAGAAGACTTAGAATAGCAACTTTTAGCATTACCGATGGGAAAAAAAAACTACTGTTAACACTGCTAATGAAAGAAAATGTGTTTTAACTTTCTAATGATTGTAGATAAACATAATCTGTGTCTTTCACAATATCCTATCATTTTTAGACTAAGCTTTAGTAATCAGAATTCATGAAATTATCCATGGTAAAAATTAGTTATAAAAATTACATAATTAAAAGATACCATTGTTATTTTTAAGCCTCATATAATATTGTAACTTGTGTATGTCCATACCTGGATTTGGGATTAAATACTTAATGATCTTTCCATTGGAAATAACTGGGAGTGAAGAAGTTTTTGTTGCTTGTACAATGTCAGATGAAGAATAACACTATCTTAATTTTGCAATACACTGCATTTGCTGGTGCTACTTTTATACAGTGAAGCAACAGCTTTGCAGCAAAATAATAAAATACTTCTTCATTAAAAAAAAAAAAGAAAGAAAGAAAAGAAATTTACTTCTTACAATTCTGGAGGCCAGGACGTCCATGATAAGGCGCCAGCATCTGGGAAGGGCCTTCTTGCTGTCCTCCCATAGCAGAAGATGGAAGGGCAAGGGAGAACTAACATGCTCCCACAAGCCCTTTTTATAATGGCATCAATCAAATTTGAGGCCAGAGTCCTTGTGACCTAATCATCTCCCAAAAGGCCCTGCCTCTCAATCCTGTTGCATTGGGGTTAAGTTTCCAACACATGAATTTTGGAGACAACACATTCAAAACATAGCATTCCACACCTTGGGCTCCCCAGATTCATGTCCTCACATGCAAAATAAATTCATTCCATCCCAATAGCCCCCAAAATGTCTTAACTTGTTCCAGCATCAACTTTAAAGTCAAAGTCCAAAGTCTCATCTAAATCAGATATGAGTAAGACTCAAGGCATGATTCATCATGAGACAAAAGATGTACATTTGCAATGTTTGTCATGTCAGACAAAACAAAAATATGTAAATATCCATCAATAGGGAACTGCTTAAAAAATTGTATACTCATAAAATGAAACATGCAGATGTTTAAACTAATGAGCTAGATCTCAACATGCTAATATGGAAAGAGCTTCAGAATGTATTAAGGGCATAAATTAAGTGTACAATAATGTGTGTATATATGTATATGCTTATGTGTGTATAGAAAGTATCTCAGCAGATACAATAAAAACTTAATTGTGATTACCCCTGGATCAATTAACATGTGGTATAGTATAAGGAAATTAATTTTATACCTTGATCAAACATTTGAAAAATTTTACAATATATTGCTTTGTAATTTTTAAAAACAACATATTGTGGCCAAGTGCGGTGGCTCACGCCTGTAATCCCAGCACTTTGCAAGGCAAGCCAGGCAGATCACCTGAGGTCGAGATTGGAGACCAGCCTGACTAACATGGAGAAACCCCATCTCTACTAAAAATACAAAACTAGCCGGACGTGGTGGT